TGATTCAAAATGGGAAATGTGTTACATAATATTATTAAGTAATTTTTTAAGCGTACAATATGTTCCATAAATTTAAATCACCCAAGGCATGTTTTTCGAATTGCCAATATTGCGTACAAAATATTTTGTAATATAATATTTTTATATCTTTGAAATATTGTTTATTAGGTTATTGCGAGGTGATGGCACCACCAATATATTGATGGAATTACGTATTGAAAGTTGTTTCCATTTCCTCATTAGCCATATTATATATGTTAGAAAAGTTCGTCACGCGTAATGGTTACGTTAAGTGATAAACGTTTAAAGTTGAAAACTAATGTATTTACTTTCTTGTTTAAATTTGTGTCGAATTATTATTCGAATACTTGAATGTAATCTAATTCCTCATCGGCAAATATCATCATTTACGTAGATTAAGTACGTAAGCTTGATTACTTGACGCAAAGAGGTAAATGATGACACTTCAAACCTCGCTGTTTTGGGATAATAAGGTATGAAATGAAGGAAAGAAACAGCTGATTCAAATTAGCCACACCGTGAAAAAAACATGATGGCATAGCTATGGGCGCACGCAATCTCTCAAAGCCTTTATAAGCAACGGGATCATTTTTAGTTTTAGTCTCACGGACACTAAGGCGAAGATTCGACATAGTGACCACAGGGCGAGTCATTTACCGTATTTTTACCAACTGCTTTAGTTACCATTTCTGAGACTCAACAGACTTTATTGGGGATCTTACCCATCCAAAAAATATTAGTCTATGATTCTATGTTACTAGTATAAAGTCATAAACGGGAATGTGTCCAATGAGCATCCCCAACAATGCCTAAACAAACATTCATTTTATGACTGAGTTTGTTTAATATCTTGAATTCTATCATATGTCCTATGGCAAAGGTATAAATCATCAACTGACGTAATCGTTCACTTTCTGGTATTTAATATGTACCAATGCATTACAATGCCTTCTAATTAGGTACGCCGCAGACTGTCGTTTCTAGTTTTCGCCGATAATGATTGTTTTAGGTATGCATTTAAAAAAAGTGTTTTAAATCTCTCTTATATAAACATTTTTCCGCACTAACGAACAATAGTGAGACCAGTGATTTTCCTACACTCCCCTAAAATTGCCCCCCCCCCCCCCTAATTCTGAGGTGTGATACTAACTTCGATTCTAATACTTAAATCCGATTGTATTTAAATATATATAATATGGCATATTTATCAGTGTAGATGGTCAAATACATAACACATCATAAATAGGGTATAAATAGTTGTATCGCTAATAGCAAAATATTTACTACCCCTTAAATTTCGAAACAGCAGAAGTGAAAAGCTGGGAACATACTAAGTGGGACAAACCCCGCCCATATCCACACTTCGGGATACCCCGTATCCAAATGATAAAATGTCATATTTAGGCTACTCAATGAATAATATTTCTAATTACTCTGTAAAATATAAGTTAAATATCAAATTGCGCCAAGACGAAGAAACTGGCATCTTTGATTGAGCAATATATTGCCATGAATACCGTTGTATCGAAATATCCGATGCCATTACGATACTTTAAATTTTAAAGTGATAAGTGTAATGATTCAATGTTTCTGCAGTGGGTAATACCGTAAACAGATAGGTGTATTTTGACGTAATTTTTGGAGGTTTGACGTACGTAAATTTATACATGACATAACATAAACAAACGACATTATATGTCAGAGTCTCCGACGGCAAAATACGTTGCAAGCAAGTATATGATAGCGCTACGAATTATCATAATATTGCAAGCGTCCAAATTATCTGATGTTTCATTAAAAGTACGACGATATCACAATGTTTAATAACAATACTTGCCCAAAATCAGGGAGCCTAACCATGAACAGTTTTTATGGGGGGTTTGAAATACAGATTGAATATTTTAATAAAAAAATATATAATTTTGCGTGTATCAGTTTTATTCTTATATGAAAATATTTTGAATCAATAAAGAGAATCAAAAGGGAAAAACATTACGTATTCCTATGCTATTTCTTTTTCTATGAATGCTAAAGTATAAGCTATTTATATATTTTTATATATTTGTTATTGCACTGAACGTGCGTGATCCCACACAAATAATTGGAGGCATGAACAACACGGCCCACGCGTGATTTCATCCTGAATTGTTGTTTAAAACTTATCATGCCAGAATTAAACTCTTCATTCCAGAAGGGCATACTATTAATAATATTTGATATACTGTATATCCTTGCGCGCGATTACGTCATGAATCCCGGAGGCAATGAACGTTCTACTTCGGGTGGGTATAAAAGCGTTGCCACACCGTAAAGTGATACACAGAACTAAAGTTATTCATATTGGGAAGGCCGAATCTTGCAATGGTCGAGGGATATAAACATAACTCCTATTCAATGTGATTATAAAGTACTAGACTTAGACTACTTTTGCTATAATAATTTATACTCATCATAAAAATACGGCCTTTCAAACAATCGACCAAGCACCAAAATTCTCTCGTTCCTGCACACCTACATTTGTATAGCATGGAAAGACGATTTTTCGCGCGAGTCTCTGTGGCGCAATTGGTTAGCGCGTTCGGCTGTTAAAAGACTTCGTCGGTCACCGAAAGGTTGGTGGTTCGAGCCCACCCAGGGACGATGTTTTCGTTTTATTGTTTGTTGTTCATCATATTTACACATCATTTCATGATTTACTTAAAGTAAATTTTTCAAACGAGTAAAAGGAAAAGGCTTCACATGAAAGCAAATAATTTACTGGCGAAAAGCACATATATATCTATTTTAATTTATAAAGACTGTATTAGAAAATTCGCCTTGATGACACTGCAAAAAAATACGGTAGACAATAAACAATTAGTTAATTTGAGATTTTTTTCAGCATTCATTGCTATCGCGAACCATAATAGGCTATGCTCTGCTGGGGACACCGGGGACATTATGACGTAACTCCAGCTATATGCCATGATATCCAGCTATATAAGGGCCGTTGAAAATGTTTTATAATGTAATAAAAGATACGTTATAACTTGAAGAAGAATGAAGTCTACGCGCTGGAATAGAAAATGTCCAGTTGAAAATTTGTAAATGCTACTCACTAGTTAACAGCCAAGTATAACCTCATTAATGATCAAACGAGTTTTTGTTATAACTATTTTACGTGAATGGCAATTACGACACACGAGTCACAAATAAGGCATAATTGTTTAACTGGAGTGTTGACAACATTAGATCTTCTACGATGTTCGCTTTTCTGGCGTATCCATATAAGGCAACCAGCGGATATCCGATTCGCGGATCGACATTTCGACAACGAAGGTCGCAAAGGTCAATAGAGCGAGAGAAAAGAATTTCAATGAAAGTCGATGGCACGAGTCCGTCCGTTTTCTCTCGTTTTTATCGTTGATTATGCCTCCTTATACGGAATCTACAGTTCGAGAGTAGAAACTCTTGCCTAATGCCCAGTCCAACAATATACTTAACAACCGTTCAAATTCGGCCCAATAGAAATGGATGGAACCAATGGCTGTAATCCGAAGTAGCCTATTTCTTCTTTCACAACAAACAAAATTGTTTTTATTGTATCCAACAAAAGAAGAATGATGAAGAACACTCTGTATTTTGATACAAAAATCGTTCTTTTGCTCAAAAATACCAGCGCCATACAACACAAAGTAGAACATTTTTTTGTGATATCATAATTTGCAGTTTCAAAAAGTCATATTACTGAAAATAAAGATCAATTTAGCCACCTATAGACCCACTGTGATAAATCAGTTTTGCACAGTTTTACACATTCAATCGTGAAAATACGGTATAAGTATAATCATTTTAACAACATCGCTTTGTTTTTATGCACTTTCAAATTCGCTTTTCAGTGTCTACATTGACAAATTAGAAGTAAATTTAGTTTAAATTTGTCTTGCTGTGACTCCAAAAATAAACTAGGACTTTTCGCTAGTCAGAAAATCGAACAAAATTCTGTTTGTTCAACTATTGCCGAATTACAAGCCAAATATAGACAGGCCGTCTATTATTTCACTGGATACATTGGGGAGATCTTTCATAAATGATGACATCATAGTTGATTTACTGCCCTTGTACAGTTGATATTCCTTATTCGGACCTAAAATTATACTATCTGAGGTATATAATAAATGCCACTGATGTAAATGGTGGTGCAAATCATCTTCCCTTTTTTATCATTTTCCCCTGAAGATATTAGTTATCTTTGGACTACAGAAGACGAAAGTTAATTGCGTCCTTACCATATAAGGCATTCAACGGAAATCCGGTTTGTCGCCGACCTGTCACAAATCATGATCACAAAATGCAATAAAGTTGAAAACGGACAAATCAATATTTATGGTGATCTAGTTTACTTTGACGGCACAGTTTAGTTTCCATATATGGAATGATCAATTTTGAATATCACGCTAAAACAAATATCGGTCAGGTTTAACGGACATTAGGTGTAGGCCTGTGCCTCACAATACTCATGGTAAAAACGAGGGAGCATAATATGCTTTGTCTCACCTAAGATAATAATGACACAAGGGATAGCTTTTTTCAATTTCCAATATCAAGTAACACACTTCATAACAAAGAAACTGAGGTTATATTTTAAAACGTAGCTTCTGACAAAGACGTAGCGCGTGGTTCGTCTGGTAGAATTATGTCAATAGTCATTAACACGCCCCTGAAACGCCAGCCTGTCATCATTCATTCAAAGAATATTAAATTAAATTTCGGAAACGTTTATTCACTTCCAGGTTTATAACGCGTGATCATAATGAAATCTTGTGATTCAACGTAGAAAGTATACATGTCATTATGTAATATAACTTAATTTCAAATTTGTCATTCGAGGAAGGAAATATGACCGACTTTTTAGTCATTATCATTACATAGCAAATCCCCTGATTGTAGTTTTTCCAAAATATTCCCGCATCACGAGTTTATCACACACACACAAAACCTATTCAACCAACATTTGTTTATTCAAAGTTGCATACAATGTATATGAAAAATACTAAACCATATGTATTTTTACAAAAGAAAGTGGTGTGAAAAGATCAGTTGAAAATGACGATACTACACGTAGAATTACTGTATAAATGTGTCAAAGGAAGCGCCTTGATCGCACACCACTGAAATTTCCATTAAGACGCGTCGTTAAACTGTAAAATGCCTTGTACTGCAGATGCCAAGAATGCAAGTTTTGTAATGAAATAAAAAGCATCATGTTTTTTCAAATTATGGAATTTCATTCAAAATTATTGGTCTCCTGAATACTTCCCCAGTAACATAGTCACAAGGTTTTCTTCATATCTTACAAATGAGATATTCCGTTATCAAATGGCGAAACGGGGAATAGCTCTACAAAGTATACTGCGATTCTGATGTTTAGTAAAAAAATCTTAAGTAAAAAAAAGGCTCGAAAAATGAAGAAAAAAACCCTAATTTGAAAAATTACAATAAAATTTGAATAACAGAAGCAAAGATATATGAAACATGAATAAATGAAATTTTCTGTTCCATATGGTTCCGATGATTATTTCCACTGGATAATCAAATTTTAACAGTAATCGTGCATTGTGTCTTTATTGATGGTAAATTCGTCCTGGGGTTCATTTGTATGAATATTACTGGCACACAACGGAGATCTACTTATCTTCAATACAAGAAAAATAGCAAACAAAGTCATGTAATACGGACTTGACAGCGAGTGCGAGGTTTAAAAGCTATTGACCGATTACAATGGACATGCTATTACAACTCAAATATAACTTTTGTCAAGTAGCATGTGATACTGAACAGCAATAGGATTAATGTATGAATATGATACACATAAATTGTGGTAAAATGAACTGAAGTAATATATGTGAAACATAAAATATGCACCATGCATGGATTGATTGTTAATTAACAATATAAAAAATGCAGCAAATGACTCATATATGCAAGTTACTGAATTTAGTGGCTATTCCTGATTTATTATGCGCAGCCAGAGAAGTATGAACAACAGATTTTCTGCGACACGATCTCCATAAAGAGTCCACTACTCACAGTTGTTCATTATTATTCATACTTCGCACTGATACAGGTACATAGTTTTGTCTGATAGCGAGGTTCCGCTGATTGGTTATTCTCTGTAAATCAAAACCCATAAAAGTGCCGTATTTAACGAACATACGGCAAAATATAATCGCCGGCAAGGGATACGAAAGGTGGAGACAGACCGAAACAAACTATGAACACTCCCGGGGGAAGTTTCTTAGGTGCGAGTGGTACAAAGTGATTACTCAATAACTTCCGGAATTTCTTGCCTCGAGCAGTTTAGGCCGGTAATGACCGGCTTGGGTAACGCGCACCGGGTAGACGAGCTAAAAAATACCCGTTATTCTTTCATGTTGTCGTTCGGTTCAGCATACCAAATTGTATTCAAATTCAGAAGGGTTAACCTACGGGTATTCTTAACAAATAATAAGGAAGTTCTTTGCTACTTTATGATATAAGAAAATTATACAGAGTTAAGTATGTATCAAAGTTCTGGTCAAGTTCCCCCTTGCATCCATGTTAATGTAGTGGAACAATATCACAGTTTTCAAAACGCCCTTTGTTGATTTTACATTCCTGGGTCACATAATGATGACTCTTGTCAGAAATACTCGTCGATGGTACGTGACTTATCTCATATCCAGGCAATGGACTATTTATGTTGCTCTACAATTATTATATTATTTCAAACTGGTGGCGATGAGTTGTCATTATTCACAAGAACTAAATGAAGTAGAATAAAATGTTTAGGTTCTACCATTTGCTGTGGCGGAATGAGAATTCACCACTTAAAGCTTTGGGTTGCTCCAGAATCGGATATCGAGCTGCGACTACAGAAATTTTGTGGTATTATGTATAGGATCACTACACCACAGTCGATATTAATTCTGTCATTTCGTTGGCTTCATTTTCCCCAATCACTTCTTTTTGCAAGGCTTCAACTTCTTTTGGCGATAATGGTACTTCCGCAATACATTCTTCGTTTCGAATCCCAAGAATTCGTTCGTGAACACAACTTGCAGTTAGCCTTGCTTCAGGCTCAGAGTCCCAACATTCGGTCATTGTGTCGATGTACTTGGCAAGTCCCTAAATAAAAATAAGTTCAGGGTTATAATGTCCATTTCATACAGGTATGCCAAACATAAATATGATTAGTGACAATTAGCAGTGTATTCACACCCTTACAGTTGTTGAGGCGCAGGAACATCAGAAATCGCTGAATGATATTTTAAGACTGATTATATCAACAAATTATGTATACGTAGTACGATAGTCACGCCATATCACAGTGTGTTCATTGGAATGTATGACACAAATAGCATCAGACTATGAGTCGACAAATTAACAAGTTCATTAGATTCGAAGTTTTACACGTAGGCAAATGGCACAAGGTTTTTCACCCTATTCGCGAGGATGTTCACGCCCCAAGGCTTGAGTCACAACTCACAAGCTTTCTACATCATCCCTCTATAGACACCTAGCGGATGGTGACGACGATGACTATATAAATATAAATTTATTCCTTCCATATATTTATTTATTCAACTCATAAATATATTTTATATATATATATATATATATATATTCAAATCCATTGAATAACACAGCACAGATTCAAACATTTTACAGCTGTCATTTCCCTTTTGTTTTGTTTATATATTAAACTAGAATACAATCATGCCTGGACGGGGCGACATGCCTCACCCCAATCCATTATCGAAGCGATTTCAGAGACTCATCATCAATTCCAAAATAAATTATCATCTTTGAATAATGAGAAAGTGAAGAATAAATGTGAATGAATCTCACCGTATGCGCTCTCCATTCCGGCCTGATTTCTGGTCTCAGTTTTGATCGACAAACCAATAGTAATATTTGTTCTTTGGAAGGATGGTCTGTGATTCTGTCTCCAAATGGAGGCTGGTAGGGCCGAAGCATACCTGCAGCAATATTTTAAGACATTTGATCATCTATACCACCACACACCAGTCTATGGAGTATGCAACATGGAATGGAAAACAAAATTTTACATCTCGCATGACAAAGACATGACCCCGAAATTGCATTAGGTTTTCCCAAGTGGACACAATTTTCCTTTCACCACAGTACAGCTAGATTACAACAATTTGTATTTTTGTGTTGTGTTCATTTTCTCATAGGAAGCAAAATGATCATTTAAAATTCAACGTACGGCGAAAATGGATGTCATCCATCTGTTTATTTTCATCGATATCGATATATAATATATTACACATTCAGCCACAGTTTATGTCACAAAATTTTCAACAGAATGACATACCATCAATGACATCACATCTCGTTGCAAGTTCCCACATGACAAGAGAAAAAGCGTACATATCCACCCTCTTAAACATTTCAATATCAGCGAGATTCACCAATTTTTCCAGTAGTTCTGGAGCCATATAACGAGAAGTTCCGACTTGACCTGGGAAGACAATGAAAATATTTCTTTTAATCTTAGGCATTGTATTATTGGAACTGTTAACTGACGTAACATCACTGTTTTCTTTCGGATACCTATTTCAATATCATTCAACCTCAGAAAAGGCTCCTGAAGAGTAGGCATTGGTACGTATGCAACTGAAAGAATCTTTGGACTTAAGCTATTAAATTCATAACACCTTGCGTGATGCGGCGCTTCCAATACTGTTAATACCAGCGTGTTAACCTCAGTTTAACTAAAGAGTCTTCCAACTTCGTACCATACTTTACATGATTATACATTCATAAACAAATATTATTTCGTCAAAGAATATTCGATACAAAATGGTCTATTCAGGGAAGATATACAAAAAAAAGCAAGGGAAGTTTCTGAAAATTCAATATAAAAAGTTGCGAAAATTGCACAATTCCAACCTGCGTTGGCCAGTTCGTCTCGGCTCAAACTTGGATCTAGTTTCAATGACAATCCGAAGTCTGCCAGAACACATGATACGCCATCGTCTTTAACAAGTATGTTGCAACTTTTGACATCTCTGTGAGCAACGGGGAACTTCTCATGGCCGTCCAAATCGTGCTCTTCATGTAAATAAGCTAGCCCTGAAGAGAGAAAAGTATATCGATATTTTGACATACTAGGAGAGTGATCTCATCTACAGATAAGAAGCTTGTAATTGCTTGTAATAAGGAATGGTGATATTCTAGAAAAAGTAGTGTCCTTGGGAGTAAAATGGATATAATTTTGATTCAATCGTTTATTTAGTACAAGTGAGTCATATATCCTCAGGAACTCGACTGTATTAGAAGCATGTTTTGATGTTTGAATTTCCTAATCACCCAGTGTGAGTCGGATGAATTTAGTCAATTGGCCCAACTTTGATCAAGCCCATTACATGAACTGTTGTTTACTGTAGGGTGGTTCCTAAATCGAGTGGATTTTTGCATTGCCTGTGGTCCATTGACTTAAACTTAAGATTTATTGTTAGATGATTTGACTTGATATGCCACATCAAACTGGAGGACTTAATTCAATTGCTCGATGTGGTAAAGGGTTTGGATAGTCTCAATGTGAAAAATTATGTTACACATGGTATATGTTAGGTTAGCTCGGGGTACTCGGGGCAAATTATGAAAAATTTTGCAAATTATTTACATCTTGAAACAATCTACTTCAAGCAAGTGTTTGGGAGATTAGAGTCTGGAGTTTACTCGTTCTATTTTATCGAAACGATGATACTAGAACTAGACAATATGACTTGCACGTGAGTCAAATGAACTAGTAACAACAATGTTTTATACGTTTTATGACAATACATATATATATTAAGTGTAAGAGCCCTTCAACGAAGCCGGACACAATATGTCTTGGGCTGCTGATAAAACGCTAAATTACCCCTTGCAATCGATGCCGACATATCACAAAACTCGTTCCAATTCAGTGAATTGTTTCTTAGAAATTCTTGAAGATTTCCTTTCGAATAATACGCCGTTATCAACCAGTACTGCAATCGCCCACGAGATGAATGTTGCTCTGATGCATAATATTCAATAATATTTTCGTGTTTCATCCATCTGAATTGATAAGAAGAACATATTAAAATACACTATTATCGGACTATCTAGAAATTGTTTGAAGCACAACGGCGTTTATTTTGCATGACAGATCGTATATACTTTTCGCAACTAGTAAACAGATAGCTTACTAACATTTGCCAAAAATGAAAGTTACAAAGTATTGCAGGTAAGTTTATCAACAATTAACACCATACCGCTTGGCAAACTCATAAAACACATCGCAAAAAATTAATTATTAAAGATACACGGCTCCTCGCATACACGGCTAGATATAAAAATGCTTAATACAAAACGTTTAAAATTATTATATTCGAAAAGAAATACGTATTACATTGCTCACCATTACCTACACTGATAACAGAAATAGCAATGGTTTATTTCCTTAGCAACAAATTTAGTTTGACGATGACCAAATAATCAGTGTGCCAGTAATTTTTTTTTTATTACCGGTATGTTACCGCGTATCGATAGTGAGGTTAAGGGTGAAGCAAAAACCTCCACATTTTGAATTTTTACTATGGCAATGCTGTTGCAGTTATTCACCTAGTTCAAATAAATTTATGTTGTTAAGGAACTGCTATTTTGACTTTAGTTTATTAGTGATTCCAATAACATGTGATTTTTTATTCAGTTTTATGAAAAACTTTGATGTATAAATATGACTTGAACGGGTAAACACCGTGCATTTATTGTGGAATGTTTTCTCACTCACAGAGAATCTGTAACTGAAAATGTTTTTGCTAATGATGTTCTGACTACCACGCAGTCACGAAGCTCATTTCCATGTATCTGGTTTTGTCAATGGTCGAACTTTTCGGTACTGGACAGAAAGTAGCCCTAGAGAGAGTTTTGCAGATTGAACTCCTTACTTTTTTAGGAGGAAAAGGCGGTTTTGCAAGGACCTATTTTAATTAACTAATTTGATTTCTTTGCATGGTGATATGAGAATGCCAGCACGATCGCCTGACCTTCCACCTTGTGACTATTTTCTGTGGGGATATGATAAGAGTGAGATGTACAAGCACCTACCAAGACCAACAACTATTGATGTACTAGATTCTAGAAGATGCTATCTGTAACACAATAAATGAAATTCCACGGGAAATGATTCAGAGGATAATGGAAAACTTTATAGGATAGATATACAAAAATATATTGCAGCTGTATCGCGCGATCTTGAAGATGTTGTTTTCAAAAGGTAGTTTACATGGGAAACAAATGCCTTCCTAAGTATGTAATAAAAATTTAACAATGGCTATCTATTCTTGTCTATTTTTTCCAAAAATGGAATGCGGGAGTCGTTTTTGCCTCAGCCTACAAGTATGCAAAGACAGTTTTCAAATACTGATAAAAGTCAATTAAACGAGGTTAATTTTTACCTTTCCGAAAGAATCTCTTTCTCCTGTCTCCAAGCACCGTAGTTAGGAAGTCTGAATACTTTGACAGAAATAACTTTGCTTGTTTGATTATCCTGCTGTAACTTCGCTTTCCAAACTTCTGCAAATCTTCCTCGACCTATAAAGGGCAGACAAAAAGTTTAATACTGCAATAGATGCCAATGGATTGTAAAGCAGAGCGAGGTTTCGGTCTTGTTTGATTTCGTAATGTTACGTGGGAACGAATAACCAGAATGCTTTCAGATTTTTTGTAGGCTCGTGCGACGAAATCTAAATGATTGTTCATGTACATACGTACAATATATATCAATAAATCTAGACTTAGTGACTAAGTGCGTCACTTAAATCTAGCTATAATTGGATTAACTCTCGAAATCTATTTTTAAGAACAATTACAGAAAGAATCTGCAATATTATGCTTAGCACATTTCAAAAAATTTAGAGGCCGGGAGAGGAAAAGTTAGTCTGTTTAAAGTCAATATTATGCGTACCTATTATTTTGCTCTTTTCAATAGGCAAATGTTGATCGTTTTGGTTGAGAGCATTTCCTTTCGATCCTCGACTATAGTGTGAACTTACGCTGTTTGAATACCTATAATAGAAATGGTTGTTTTGATCATAATAGAATGAAAGCATATAGCAAGCATCTGACTGAAACTTTTAAAATAGTATTCAACTCAAATATCATAAATCCTAGTTTTCTCCAAATGCATCGAAATAGTAATATGCCAGTCACAAATTACCTGGCAATACGGTAATACTCAGTACAGTATATACATATACATTTTCAGTCTGATATTTATTATAAAATGAACCAGTTGCGGAAAGGCAAGTTTGAGTACACTGTGTTGCGGGTTCCAATACTTCGACCCAGGGCTATTCAACTGGGCATACGGGTATACATACCAAGTCAGATACCGGATATACAAATAACAAATGGTATACAAGGATTTAAAGCTATGGCCTGGGCCTAATATACTACAGCTCGTTTTGTGCTTTTGAAAAAGATGCGCGCAGTTGACGTTCAACACTAATACTAATTCATAAGTACAGTGTTAGTCTGTCCACGACCACAAACCAGAGTAAGACTTCTGGCATGACTTCACGAAACAACTTTTTACTATATGATATGAAGTAAACTTTTTTCATTTGTGGGGTATACAAAGAGGAAAATTGGAAAAGATGTAACACGTAGTAAAAAGTTGAAGTCTACCGCTCAAAACACAATGTTGATTGCAAATAGTGAAGCTAAATTAACACAATGTCAAATGAAATTAAGCTCCAACAACTTACTTGTAGGTTGAGCAGCTATGTTTTCCCATTTCATCCCATGCACTTTCTAATAAGCTTGAACTATCGGCTGAAAATCGACTTTGACCCGCGCCAGCCATTGCCTGCTTCTCCTTTTCGTCACTTAGTTTCCTTCGTCGAACGACAATCAGTCGAAATAGCAGGATAATGGCGACCACTAGGACAACACCAACCGCTATACCGGATGCGAGAGTAGCCGTGATGTCAGCATCTTTTTCTTCTTCTGAACAAAATGAATGCTCAACAAAAAGAGTATCAGGATGACACGGACAAGACGCGATAACTTAATTCTTAAATGATACAAAATCGTTGAGTTTCACACAATTTTGCCACAGATCTCACAAAGAATCTTCAGAATAGTAAAAACGATACAGAGAATTTCTTTAGCGTCAACGTATTTTAAGCATTTTGCACAGAAACGTTGGCGGTATACAAGGTATATTATTCGGGAGAATTAAGGTCTGCGGTGATCTTAACAGCATTTAGTACTCTCGACTGTATTGCATAACTACCATCGCATAGGTACATGATTAATTATGTTTGTCAAACTGAATATAGTCATACAAAACGTGGAACATGGACAGACCCGACAATAGGTTGTGTTAACGCCACTGCCTTAATGGAGATGTGCTATGGATTTGTTGATACTTTACAAACTTACTCGCATCAGTCGGAGGTTCTATCTTCATTAAAACAATGTTGGAATTACAATTATCAGACTGACACGTACAGCTAACTGTGCTGAAATTCTCTTCAGCAATATAGTTTGGTTCACGAGACTGAATACAAGTAGGCCCCAGATCCTCTTCGCCGTACACAGATGCAATATTTGTCTGAATGTACATGAATATATTTATACATATATTTAACATTGATACAGAACCCTTGTCAGATTATACAATAAGGCGTTTCATATAAGGCGCAATTACCAAATTAATTTTCAAACTTAAGGGCCGAACTGTTAAGTAACAATTTTAGCAACAAATAAATTCTTAAAATAAATATCCTATTCGTTTTCAACCGAAAAATGATGTGAAAAAATGATTAATAAAACATTTGCTGAGGAGTTGATATTTTTTTTTAGAAAATCGGGACTTGCATCCCATACACCTATTCTTATTATTCGTTGACTCACTAAATCCATCTGCCCAGTGGATATCCACGAATTGAATAAGCTAAGTTCACTTTACCTCGTTCATGCACATTGTGAACGCTGTGTCTTGCTGATTAGGTTTCAAGGAAACAGTAAGAAGGCATGTTCCTTCACATGTATCTGTCTGTTCACATTTTTGTGTGTAGCAGTGCGTCACGTTGCATTGTGCGTCGGATTCTTCACAAGATAGACATCCCATTGATACAGTCATATACGGCAAAGAAAATAAAATCAGGACAGACAATATGCCAACATTAAGCTTTATATGTTTACCCATGTCCGTAGTAATAAACTGCTAAATGGAAAGTGATAGAGTTATATTATTAAGTAAAATCCAAAAATAAATTTGATGGGCAAATGTTGAATGAGAAATAAATTGTTTTAAGATGTTCGAGTAGGTGGCCGTACATTTGATCCCATACATTTGTACCCGTTGCATCCGCGGGTTCAGTCTATATGAGGGTGCTAAAATCCATGGGTTAGGGTTAGTATGGGTTCAAATATTCGTAAAAAAATTCCATAGGTTCAATTGTCGTGGGTTCAAATATAATGGAACCGTTCGAGTAGTTTGTTTGAACTTGGAAAAAGTTCATTTTATTCGGTGTAGATATTTAGAAGATCGAAACTATCGTTTTGCTGTAAATCACGATACATTTTTTGAATTGAAATTTAGCATATATATAACGGTTTCGTTGTAAAATAAGTCCGTTCAGAACATTCGATCTTATTTTCAATGATATTTTTCCGTTGTACTATTCGCATAAGGACAAATTGCGAGATTTCTGTCTTCGGGGCAATCAGATCGGGTAGAATAATACAGGGGCCCTCTTTTTAATTAATAAATCTTGCTAAAATGTTATCACTCATTTGGAAAAATACAAAATTTCCCTTAATAAATATCGAAAAACAACCACAGGAACTGCTTTTTAACTTCCGAACGTGTTAAAGTATATTCCCCACGTAATAAAGTAAACACATTTTCATAAAGTCGTCCAGATATTGCTATTCTAACTGTATTTTTCATAAAAATCGGCGTGTTTGAAGAACTAACAACGACTTAAGTTGTACTCGTGTTGAGCGAAAGAATACTAAATCAAAACCAACTAGATTTATATTGAATATGTTGATTCTCCTGAAACAGAAAATGTTTATTCATCAATTATTGGATAAACCAACGATGGGATTCGATTCGAAACCCGTCTTCCTAGCTGAGTTCTATACTCTATGCAATTGTCCGCACTCAGATAAATAATTGGAGCATTTTTTCAAGTAAGGATAGTATCCACATAACTGTTTGAAATAGTATTCCAAATATCTTATTACCTATGCCATTTTGTGATACGCGAATGGCAACCATTAACAGATCAAAATCTGGCGTTGTACGAAAAATTTCAACTTTCGTTTAGAAAAAGTAATCAGTAACAATCAATATATATTAGAAGGTTCCATTACATTTGAACCCACGTACATTTGAACCCACAATAATTGCAACTGCTTACTATTACACCTATGGAATTTTTTTTTACGGATGTTTGAACCCATACTAACCCTAACCCATGGATTTTAGCACCCACATATAGATTGAACCCGCGGATATACGGGTGCAAATGTATGGGTTGAAATGTACGGTCACCATATTAAAATAATAAAAAGAACATGCCAAATGTTTAGTTTTTGAAATTGTATCTTATTTTGTATAGAAAGCAGTAACCAATCGGATTTTAACAGCATTAACGGGTGGTCCGATGCATCAATTTCGAGTTTGTGTTCTTATCTTAGCTTTCAAGATTATGAGCGTGAGTTCAGCTTAAGATTCCAACGAATGGAACAGTTAGTTTATTATAGACAGGTTTTTTCGTCATTATGTTCAGGTGCTGACCAGGTTTGAATATTCTGCATAATGAAATGCGTTGTCTGATAGAGTTTTTTTTAATTTTTAATTACCTAGGATTATCTGTTTACTTTCAGAAGAAACCGTATTTATTTGGAGTTTCGACACGTTTCAATATCCAATAACTTTTAATCTGTCTCGATATCGCGAAGTTGAATTCTCAGCTCAATACAAAATGTTCGAAGTTTTGTGTTGAATTATGCTTGGATGTCATAACCTATTGTAAACAAGTGCGGTAAGATTTTATGAGTATTCTCTTAGTGGCATTAGATAAGATCAAAACTTGAATTTGTGTTTATTCGGGTGCAGTTTGATATTTATTCTCAAAGTTTCAAAATGGTACATCCAATGTAAACTTTACTTGCAGCATAGGTTAATTACAGTGGCCTTGTAAAAGGGTTTCAGTGCCGTAACATCCGACGTCTAAATTCCCTGGGGTGGCATTCAATGGACTTCAAGAATTATTACCGGAATGGCATACTGCACACTTATTCATCACTTTTATGTTATAATTTTCTTTAACAACAAGGTACCTTAAAGTTACTGAATACTGTACATTGTAATTATTTTTAGTCAGTAAATGTTTCCGCGCAGTTCATGGATGGAAATATGTTTGATTATAAGGTATTGTCTGAAATTTGTTTCACGCGTAACTGATTTACGGGCTCCTGTAATTTTTAATATTGTTAACTTTACGTGAATATTAGGATAATATCCAGTAAACTTTCACTTCGGTTAATTAAAATATGATTATATGTAATGGAGATTTTGAAAAAGTTTTGAATTCAGCGAAATCAATTTAATCTCGCAAATATTTCGTACGCGGGAACACTGCGAAAATCGATGCGATCCCGTACGAATGCCCGAAGCATTAGTCGGCTGACGCGACTGAATCGGAAGCAAAGTCGGACTAAGCGTAATTACAACGGTACTCGTACTCACTTAATTTCAATCCAAATTTACGCATTTGAACTTCTTAATTTTGCTGAAATATGGAACTCTCGCATGATTAAGCGGACTGCTGCTCTTTACTCAAATAATGCTATTATTGAAACACTCACAGCTTCCAACGTAAGTCGCCAGAAAGTTAGGGAGTGCCCAACAAACATTTCCAAGTTTAGGAATCACTCTACTGTACTTTCACTGTAGTACTTGTTCGATGTTTACTGAAAGCGACCTCACTAGATTTGTATCGTCAGCAACATTCATGTAACCATATCCTATTTCCAGGAAGTAATAAATTGTTCGCATATTCGATTACCCGTATCGTGGTGATTTCATGGCAAAAAGGGTCCCATTTGACAGAAAGATTATAAGAATTTGCCAATCACAAAAGTGGCATTGTTGTAAGCTAAACTCTTCGCTATTCTTCTGATTGAAAAGAAACGACATTCAAACTGGAAAGGGTGAAAACCAGAAATACGTACATACAATTTATGAATATTTCATACAAAGCTTCCGCCACGAATGTAAAAATGTGAGATTTAGGAAAAACACCCCGCCACGTTTTAATATAAAAAAATTAGTAATTATCGAGTTAGGAATGCTTTGAAAATTTGAATTCCCAGCCCAATATGAAAGCCTAACCCTGATCCAGAATGGATAATTAATAATTTCCCTATTTTAAACGTCGGCGGATTTTTATTTTGCGGGAGCTTTGTACAAACAATCCCGAATTATTAACTGCCTTAAATTAAGACCTTTCGACTACCAAACCCCAGATCAACAACTTGAAGTACCCTATAAAGTTCTGAATGTAATAAATCGGCCACGATACATGCGTTTCGGCGTTTTTATTTTCCAGAACTCATCTTATTCTGATTACACTATTTTCTCAAGCTTGTGCAAATACTACAGAAATCGATAAATTTGTTTATGCTTTTATGCCTTGACAATATGATTTTACAACAACATGAACGAACAGAACGCCTACTCGACTACAATTCGTCACTGAGCGACGAAAGTCGATACGCTCGTTTACTGTTCACTGAGAGCGACCCACTTCGCTTTGTCGATGATGGTTGGGAGAAAGTGATGTTTGGTTACGCTTCGAGAAACCCGAGTTACGCGTTCGCATACAGCCCCAGAACACAGTATAAGGGCTAATTGTTGAACCCAATTAATTAAGATCAGGGTTTAGGCTAAGCTCAAAACGTTGAGTCTGATTTGTTTAAATATATTAGCGTAAGTTGGAATAATATCCTGACATATTGACACCATTTTCTCATTAAAATTCTAAACCATCTCGCAATAAGTTTCATTGTGTGTTTTAGGGAGTGTATTGGTTAATATATATTAAAATCTGAAATTTAAATTTGATAATAGGAAGTACACAAAATGAAAAACGCGTAACCTCTCTAAACGAAAACTACAAAACACAACAGGCTATTAGCCATGACCGAGATTTGAATAAAATACACGGAAACTATATACAATATAGAACATTTCGTATTTCCAATAAATTTGAAATATGCCGCCGTTACGAGTATACCTCACCAACTCCGACTCAAAGGAGAAAGACTAGAGTTGCTTCACTATACTTGATACAGATATGCAGTTAGAACCCTATTTCTATTTTATTAACCAGGATCAGGGGTTTACAAACATTGTATTCACAGCATTGACACGGCCTCAAAACTGCGTGTTTGTGAGTTGGTATTGGAAAATGTTTCGTACATCTGTAAGTCCAGTTCTCACTCTGTCATCAAGGTAAACACGCCGTAGGTGCGCCGATTACCTTCTAAAATTTAGTTACTCATTAAATTCAACCCATAGCATCGTGAGGCGTTCGTCATTCATATGCGTTATATCATAAGATCAGTAATAAGTTAGTCGCTTGTATATTACCCAAGGAGGATGGAGTGAGAGATAATAGTCAAATAGTTGAGAAAAGTTTTTTTACAAGGCGAAAATATAATGCATAGACACCCACGGTATTTATTCTAATAGATCAAAAAGTAGAAAAAATGCATATGACGTTTATTTTGGATAAAAAAAATAATAAAAATATAGTTCGTTGCCTGTCACAGTCGGAAGGAAATACAGACATATATCGACTTCAATCCACTCCAGCAGTGAGTAAGTCGCGCCCATCCCACATATCTGTTTATCTAAATTCACCTAAATATATACTCCGTTTTTTTAATCCATATCAAATATCAAGGGTATGCGCGAGTGAGTCATAAATGATCCTATCTTTAAGCATTGGCACCCGTGCATATACGAATAGAATTGTAGAACTCAATAGAATGTATTTTTTGTACATTTAATAATGTCTGAGTTTTATAATTCCAGATACTGACTACTTTGTATGATTTTGTAAGAAATAATCTTGCTTTCGACTACACTGTACGAACTAATCGAGTCAAGCATAGATGTCACAAACTACATATGACTACGATTTTCAGTCAACGCCTCCCGATGTTTTGATAGTTAAAGATGGACTGAAAATATGGTGCCCCATTATCGGTATATTTTTGACATCATGTGCGTGCTATGTTATGATTTCTCTGATTGTTCATTTTGTGACATCACGAACCAAAGCGAAAACACTAAAATTGAGGCAAGCGAGGGAACAAGGTTCAAGGCGAAAAAAATCGAAATCAAGAGGAGCAGGTATACACACGAACTTCTGATCTTTCCACGTTTTTCTATCGCCTATTATATTATTTTAGTTTTGTCCAATCCTCTACAGTTTTGTTTGCACTTTCACCATTCTCTACGTTTTATAAACTAATCTGGAAAATATATATTTACCTTTAGCGAAGTTGAGTGGATGGTTGGGATATTTAAGTCTAAGCGGTTCCATATTCGCCTTTCTCAATTGTGCTGTTGATCACCCGTCGATATTTTTGCGAGAAACGTCTAACAAAACGTGTAAAATCATACAGGCGAGTAACTACATTCTTTGAGAGTTTTCACCATTACCTAAATATCTGGGTGACCGTACATTTGAACCCATGTACATTTGAACCCATGCGTATATCCACGGGTTCAATCTATATGCGGGTGCTAAAACCCATGGGTTAGGGTTAGTATGGGTTTAACTATCCGTGAAACAAAAAAAATTCCATAGGTGCAATAGCATACAGGTGCAATTGTCATGGGTTCAAATGTACGTGGGTTCAAATGTAATGAAACCAAATATCTGAAATCTATAATCGAGAATATACAGTATTATACAAATAAGGTTTATCAGTAAAAATTATTCAAAACATGATTGATTACTCTTTCACACTAAACCGGCCAAGATATAACCTCATATTTATTTAAACCATTGGATCACGTCCAAATGCTGAAATATATCAAATCTACTTGACTGGAATCTATGACGATCCATTCATGCAAATTGATGACTCAGAATTATGTCTCGAACAAATTGTTTTCTTTGCTGATTACAAACTCAAGTTGAACTACAAAATCCACATGATATACAATTTGAATAAGTGAATATTCTAAAATTCATTGATTCTCTCTTGTTTAGAGCTTCAGTTTTTTATTCTATCCATGTGGCGTCACGTGCGTTTATTGCTTCCTTTGGGCTCGTCAACGTGTTTTTTACAGCAGCCCAACTCTTGGTCTTCTACACAGCAAGTATTTGAGATGGACGAGTCTAGCTATTTTGCCCATCTTCTTAGTTTTCACGACAATTGGTAAGCATAAATATCATAGAAATGATAAATGTGTAGGAAATATAGTCCATTTACACTGATTTGTATTTTAATAACCTTAGCTAGTATTTCATCTTGTATGTTTACATTAAATACATCTTGTTTGTTTGAATGACTTCGTTTAAAACATCTCCGTCATTTTATCGTAAAATGGACATATTGCAAGATTGTATGAACAGCTATGTTTCCGTAAGAAGATATTCTTTTCACAGTACTTAACCCAACGTTAAACGAAAGTCCCTTCCATTTTATTTGAAGCAAGCTAAGTTAGACACACCACTTCATTTGTAGTCCCCACGTATATGTGGGATAAAATAAATAAATATTTTCGAAAAGTTCAATTTCGACCGTTACCGTGTGGTGAACTTCAGAGTCGAACTGAATTTTTGGAGCATTCCAATTAAACGTTATTAAAATCGTTCCAAGTTATCACCTTTTGATCAAATATATATGCTGTCGAAAGTCAATATCAATATTTGACTATTAGGGTTTATGATCTTTATTTTCTAGGTATGATCACAACACTCGCATTATACACATATCAAACATCTTCAATTGGTTGCATTGAAACTTCAGGGAATAAATCGCCGACTATTATTCTATATGTCGGTGCACTATGCATGCAGGCAACTCTCTTAACGTTGTTTGTTTATCCCCTAAAAGAACACGCATCTGATACGGACGACGATTTGTGAGTAGATTTTGTTGAATCATCTTGAACCTCAGTGTTTTTGAACATTTCTTACGAATGTTTGGCAATGGACATAGAAATATGAGAACTATATTGGAATAAAGATAACGTTCACAAATAAGTATCTCCGTGAACGCGTGATAGCTGCCAGTTGTACAAGGACCAAAAAATTTCCGAGTGGGAGAGTTTTAATGAGTCTGCTGACTTTTGTAAAAACAAGAGAAACAAAAGTAGAACCACAAGACGTGTTCAATTTTCAACTTATGTATTATATATGTTTTGTATTGATAATGAACTCAATTCCATAAATCTATTATTGCTGTTTTATAGTAGAAATTGATATATATCCTATAATTGCGTCCGCACGATCACAATCAATAAAATTATATTTACAGACCAGAAAACAAATTGATGATGTCCTTAATTAAACGTGCATTTGTGACAACCGGACTCTGTGTGCTCGCCGACACAACTGCTTTCATAATTATTATGCTTCTCCCAAGCAACGGCCCGAGCATCGTTGTAAACTTAATCAGAGATGGGAATTTGGTCGTAAATGTAATCTGTGTTGTCTGTTCCTTTGTGGACTGGAGAGAGAGACTAGCATCTATTTGCAGAAGTCAGGTAGAAGAGGACACAAACCAATCGGGGCAAATTCGTCTGATTAAATCAGTGAAATCACATTCAAGATCATCAGCATCTGCTTCCTCAGTTAATGAATCCAAGAAAATTTATAACCCCGTTGAGGTAACGACATAATAATTTACAGAAAATTTTTATCGTCAAACTTATCAAAATTTGTACGCCTCTCGAAGAACCTCTCATTCAAAAAAAAGTCCCAAACTAATTCGGTCGAATAAAAATATTCAAATTTGGGATTTCTGTGATGTGCGATAAAAAAAGAAAAAACTTTGCTATGGCAACCGAATATTTAATTTAAAACAAACTAGACAAAAAGGGGAACCAGGTTTATTTTGTATTATTCTCCATGAATTTCATTGTTTTGATATATTTTAAATATATATCACTGATTAAAATTATGAATCGAAATCTAAATCATTCGAAATAATAATAGATATACATATTATAGTCACGCACGAAGCTTTGCATCATTACTATTACACAAAATAATAATTGTCATTCCCGCCTGCAATGGTCGGTTCGAGTTCCATTAATCTCTCAATTAATTATGACAAAGGGTAATAAAATTAAATATGTTTTTGCTTTGTTTCGGATATGACTGTTTCTGACTTAATTATACTTATCAAAACTGTTGACTAATAGGCAGTGGCGGTATTCAGTTTTTATGTTTTAGAATTAGACGGCCGCATCAAGTGCGTAACTTGCATGAAAGATCACGCTAAGCGTTATATTCAGCGTTTCAAATCTTATGTACAGTATTGGCTTGTCATGTTAATGTAACTTACGCAGTGACGCATTAGTAAATATGATGTTTGAGTTGTTCTTATCATTCTAGGTTCTTGTATTGTGTTATAAGTTTATCATGGTTTTCTGAAAGAAGGGAACCTGTTTTTAGTGAGTTCGGCACAAACGAGAAGCTGTTCTTGAAATTTTGAGTATTTTGAGTTGTTCTTATCATCCTAGGTTCTTGTATTGTGTTAAAAGTTCATCATGGTTTTCTGAAAGATGGGAACCTGTTTTTAGTGAGTTTGACACAAACGAGAAGCTGTTCTTAAAATTTTGAGTACCATGCCATCACTGCTTATACCTTTATTCTTGTAGAGATGGTTAATCAAAAATTTGACGCAATATTAGTTAACTTATATATAAGGTTCAGTTTATCGGGCTGAAAGGAGAATTTTAGAGTCAAATCTTGGGATTTTCTACACGTGAAAGTTTTATTCAACAAGTTCAATCAAAAATGAGATTTTATTTTTTAAATTGCCACACTATCAATATCTATTTTGAAAATGCTACCGTTTTATATTTATAAATTTGGCCACTAACGTGTCATCATTAGTATTTACCCCTATTGTTCGAATTTGAGGTAGTACATTTTTATGTACATATACACTATATGACGTATATGTATTCGTGCAATGATAAATTTTCAACGTGTGTCGTTGAGTTCATAAATTCATTTTAAATCAATTTGAAAATGGCAATGAGGTATAAACCAAAAAGTGATCGGATGTGTATATAATTCGCGAAGCTACCAGATCAGATTATAATAATCATAATCACCCCAAAGTTTCCTAACGCTTGTTTCCAAAAAATTCTTTCGTGGGTTTTGACCCCGAAAGCCCTCCTGGCTTCGTCACTGCCATCAGGTGTTTTGCTTTATAGCAAACCGTGAAAAGGGGCAATGTTCTCAATCAAGCTCGAAAATCTGTTTGGACGAGAGGAGTTTCTGAGCTGTTGTATAAATATCAATCGTCACATCATCGTCAGGATGGGCAGGAAATTATTTAAATCGCAATTTTATTTTATCGCAAATATTATCGTATATTTCGAGATTGGCCGCCCCACGGCAATAAATATATGAGGAAATTGTATAGTTGAACAAAATTAAAATTAATGAAATCACAATATTTAATACCTGTGTAGAAAGATAATTGAGTCGAAGTTTAGCTTAAAAACGTCGATGGACTAAATGACACTAGCGCTTAACGATAAACAGTCAGAATTTATAACCGTGCTAAAAAGTGCGTACCGGTATGCTGTGAATAAAGACGTTTTTACACTATGTTTTAAAACTGGGAGCCTAGTTGCTCTTATTTTTGTGCTTGTCAATTACCACCACAGTTTATAGGTAGGTGTAAATACCGTAATGCTTAAAGTCTACATTCTTAGAGCAAATTCATTTATATTGCACATGCCTTATGACTGGTCAGGTCAGAATCTCATTCTCGTTTCTACTCGCGGGGGTGGGGGACGCGTATGGCTCATAGTTCACGATTCCCCCAAGAAAAAAATAATTTAAACATCAGTATTCCAACTTATTTTTTAAAACATTCTGAATCATATCAAAAAGGTTAACATATCGGAAATATCGGTCTTCATTTAGCCGATACCGATACCGAAAATTGGCCGATACCGATACATCTCTAGTAAAAACATGACATCAAAATTTCACCTTGAATCAAAGTGCTTCTGTGCCGAGGTTAAAGTTGTCTCCCCGTCTCCTTAAGATCGCTTCACGGACCCCTAAGCGACCGCGGCCCCCAGTTTGAGACCAATGCTATAGTATAAAACAGCGTTTCCTAAACTTTTTCGGCCACGGAACACTTAGACTTTTTATCTCGCCTCGCTGAACACCAAAAAATGGAAAGCTAAAATTGATAAAGAAAAACGGTGTAATGTAGCGGTTCCCAATGGGTTCGCCGTGACGAGTTGCCAAATGCGCCCGCGAAAACTAACAGAATTGTGTTAAACCGTAAATATATACTACTAGGTTCCATTACATTTGAACCCACGTACATTTGAACCCACGACAATTGCACCTGCATGCCATTGCACCTATGGAATTTTTTTTGGTTTTACGGATATTTGTACCCATACTAACCTAACCCATGGGTTTTAGCACCCGCATATAGATTGAACCCGCGGATATACACTGTAAAAAATTTTTAAGCCAAATCTTTGGCAGCAGTGTATCCATGGCCCATGTTCGCACCACATACAGAGTATCTGTATAGCCACTATCACAGAGTCACCTAATTTTCTAAAAACAAACGTTGTGTACTGGTGAAAAATACACACCCTGTTTTCACATAGTGTTACCTATTTCAAAATACAAGAAGTCTATATCCCGAAAATACATACGCCCTGTAACCTGCTAATACATAAGCTACTTTATTCTCAAAAACAGAGCCTGCGGCCCCATTAACCCTTTACATTACCTGAACCTGCGTAGCATACACATGACAAAAGAAAAACACTACTAATTGTGAATTCAACCAAAAAATTTATTCCAACAATAAATGCAATATATATCTCGTGAATCGAAGCTGTTGTAATGGACTTGTAAAAGATATGCTTTTCTAGGTTGATCTACATACTTGCAGTGTGAATGTGGATTGGCCATAGTAAAATAATTGGGATTCTAATAATTTGTCTTATATTTCATATCGGTGGCTGCTTGTATAAAGCCCTCGTTGGGAGTGAAGGTGTAAAACGTGGGCGTTATTGTAATTGGCAAAATTCAGTGATGAGACAATTATTTTGATTCACTTTGGATAAAAATTACCAAATTCTTAATGTAAAACATAAAAAACTTCACTAAAAGCCAAAACATCCAAAAAATCAAATAAAAACAGTCTTCAATCACTGGCAAAGGCATAGAAACGGTGGTACCAAGTTCATACTAATATAAAAAATTCAGTTCATTATAAGCATGTCAGAATAAAATTCAATTTCTTGAACGAAACTAGTTACCAAAAAATATGAAAAATTTAGAATTACTGAACTTAGTTCAAAATATTATATATTCGAAATGACTGTATTTTAAAAACTAAATGTTCCAATTTAAAATAAATAGGATTTTGATTAATAATAAAACAAACATATTATGTAAATAAATACAAAGCGAAAATATTCAAAAAAGGCCGTTTTTTAAATATTTCTGGCCATTGAGTAGCCATCCCAAATTTATAAAACAATAATATATTGAAACTTTTCATGAAGGGCTATTAATTTGTAAAGCAATATTGACTTTTCAAGGCATTTTTTTTACATACACAGTCTTTTAGATAGTTTCAATGCAAAAATTGATGCTTAAGCTGGATTTCTACATTTTCAAGATAATTTCAAAATCAGATTCAGTTCACATTAACATTAATAAATATTATTCTTCCTTGTGACCTAAATTTGCTAATCAAATATAAGAGAATAAAATAACCAATTGAAGTAAATTGTAAAAATTAGTTTGATAGGCATATCACAATGAAAAACAGGGACCACATAGTAACACCAACATTATTAATAAAGTGAAAAATTGACCAAAAGTAATGTGTAACATGGAGCCTAACCCAAATTACAAGGCATCTGGATTATGGATAAACTGTAGGACAAGAGTTCAAATACATTTAACTGATTTGTGAAAGATAATATCTGGCTATGAATGCCCCACACCCAAGTTGTAATCTTGTCCTTTTAATTTCTCTGTGGGATGTACACCAGATTCTGCAAATAATCTAAAATACAATAAAATAGGTTAGGAAAATAAGTAAAAGAATCAATTTTTGAAATCCCCATTTATCATGAGAGAAAAATTAAATACAGTTAACTTAAACACAGCCACCAACTTTACATTACCGATTTATGCATTGCATATGGGCTTCTTGGCATTAGAATTGCATTGTACCTCAGATTACCTTGGGTAGATTTCATCTGCCTGTGGGGTAACTAGCCTAGCCTATGGATTGATTGGTCCTCGCCACCATGGTTCATGTAATTGCTGGCTGTTTACGACTTCTTCCACCATTAGGTCCATGCATCATAACACAAACAGACATAGTCTGTTGAAAGGGCGAGTGGTCGTGGTTCAGTCGTTTATTCGCTTTCCTGCAAACCCCATCCTCCCGAAGACACATAAAACCATAATTACGTGAGTTAAACAAGAAATGCAACCGCTTGACTGCTGACTTCAGACCTGTCAAACACCATGCATGACCAGACTAAATTGATAGGTTGAATCTCACACACGAACTCGAAGGAAATTGTTTCCATTACCGATAAAGCATTAAGTTACCTGTTAATGTATTCCAAAGGCACTGGTCTGTTCATGCCTCATATGCAGTTTTTGTGTAACGTTATCCTATAACTGCAGCAAAAATAGGCCTGTATCCAAAAGCCCAACATCAGGACAAAAAAAGGCATCTTCATTGTTGATGTGAAAGCAGATTCATCTGAAAACATAAAATTTAAATTAACGTTAACAGAAATGTGCAGAGCACCGGTACCAGTGCCGTAAGTCAACTATGAAAACACAATTTTCATTCAGTTTAATAATTTGACCAAACAACGTGCTGGACGTCAGGACGTGGCCTAACTTAGCCTAGTCTACATCAAAGTTGTAAAGTTAACTTGTTCATATCAATAGAAGACTGATTTTACATAGGGTATTCAGAATAAAAACAGCACAATAATTCAAGCAAGTTATTGGTACCGCACGGTACGTTACTAATTGGTGCTGTAACTGTAAGGTCACTTTAAAGAACTTACCGGTAATAATAGGCCTAGTATCGTACTGTAGTATATTTTGATCATCATCTCACGGTATTGCAGTACCAGTATTTGTCGACTTTTATCCCTCCCATGCCCAGTCAGCAAACAATTCTAACAACATTCTAATAACTGTTGTCTGTGAGTTGACTAACATCATTGATACCTTAACATATGTAGTCATCAATGCTGACATCGCCCGAAACCCAAAGTTGCAAACTCCGTAGTCTCGAGTGCAGTAAAAGGCGGCGAAATTCAAATTTCGTACGCATGCGCAAACCTGCGTGGAAATTATGGCGTAACAATGGACGTTTCCTCGACCCTTGATCCCCGAAAAATTTTTTCTATACTGTACTTTACTATCGCAAAAGTTTGGATGCTTATTTTAAGAGTGTTTAAGAGAGTTGACATAAACTTATTTACATGCTCAAAACCCTTATTTTTATTAAAATATAGAACCACATGCCGCTTACACGTACAGCAATTATACCTCGTTTTAGCATATTCTATCGCAGATTTCCCGGGACTAATTTTGATTATTGAGACAAAACTGCAACTCACCTGAATACATAATGACCATTAAAATACTTCATTTACAACTAAGTTATGAAAAGACAATTAAAAGGCGTTAAATAACACCAAAAACCGAGGCAATGTTTACAACTGTGCTTGAATATCTGTCTGAGCGAACGATGTGTACGAGAAGCTGCAAAATTTCTAATTGTTCCGACAACTTTGACTTTTTACTGATTGATCATTGTTACGGATATAAACAAAAAAGTCGATTGTCGGGGAAACATACATACGCTAAAATAGGGGTCGGCAACCTACGGCCCGCGGAATAAATCAATCCGACCCACGACGCCTCACTTATTCATATTAGCAAAACGGCTGTTTTGAAGATTGTATTCTTTACGTAACAGAATTTATTGTGAGACACCTGTAGACGAAATGGTCACGTGTTCTGAACTAACTTTTACGACAAATGTCTATCGAAGACAAAGATATAAAATACCAGTAATTTCCCTACACTCCCCTGAATTTACACCACCCTCTCTGTTTATACTGTGATTTCCATTTTTATACTGAATCACGTGTGATTGCAATTGCTAATATAGAACTGGGATTATACGCCAGTAAACCACATGATTTACTAAAATTTACAACCAATTTTTTATTATTCAAAAAAGGTCATCGCAAATGCAGAAACCTGAGAACGACAAGATATATATATATATAACACCCCCTATAGTTGAATTACTTTCCCACGATCCCACTACTGCTAGCGGATAATATATTCTACTTAGAAACTATGAAACATATGAAATATATTTTATGTTTATATGATGATTTTACAGAAAAATATGTTTTGCGTGGAAACGTATAAAATTACTACTATGTAAATCAATTTTCCGTAAACTTCTGTTACATTTACATAAAATATGTTTTTACAACAAAAATTTCAATGTTTTGATGACCTTTTTACAAAAAATACTCTGTATTATCAACTTTACATAGATTCATGTATTTTCACAAAGCCGAACTTGTAAAATTTACATAATATTCTATGTCATTGTTAATAACAGAGTGAAATTTGTAATTTTTACATATATCACCCTGTAAACACCATGATATTTTTTACAGTGTACACATTGGTTCAAATGTACATGGGTTCAAATTTACGGTCACCATACTACTACGGTTAAACATACCTGAAATATGATTGAATATTTTACATATTGCAATTATTATAAATGTTTTATTGTTTCCTAATTTAAATGCTGTGTATATGAATCAATAAATTCACCAATTCACAATTTTTTACATGTCTATGTCGTTAACTTTTCATCACGTAGTGTTTGCCTCCAATGTTACCTCTAATGGAGATAAAAGTAGCCTACTGGCGCGGCGGTGTGGCTCAACGGGCTAAGCGTCAGGAATACGCTCGCCACCGCACCTCTAATTACTCTGCGTGGGTTCGCAGGTTCGAATCCCATGCAGGGATGATTATGTTCGAGAAGATTGCTGGACTCCTCGCCGTCGTTGGGTGGTTCACGTAACCGCTGGTCGGTTACGGCTTCCTCCACCGCCAAGTCCATGCTTCCGAAAACAAACAATACAGTAAAACTAATCCCATACCCGACTTGGAATGGTAACCGGACGAGAGGCCGTGGTTCGCCATATGGATAAGCCGTCTTACCTCTCCCCCGGGATAAATATGTAAATCCTATCCTACTTGCTGCAATTTCGCGAGGCAGAGACGGAGGAAGAAGAGTTGACCTTTTGCCTTTATTTTTTAGATCTACTTGTTTGCTTATAACAAAACCAAAAGGATTGCTGTAAACTTGGGGTTACCATATTTTTGTGACCTCAAAGCGGGACGCCTCCAAAGGTCATAGCTGTGTTTTTTTCAACTTTAAATTTACCGATTTTACATTAGGCACACATTTAAAACCATCCCGGCTGTCTTCAGTGACTATATTGTCTTCGAGAGTGCATGTGGTGTCTGTCTAAAAATCGGTTTCAATTCAATAAATATAAAGGACTTTACGTTAAGCGCCTTTTTGGCGTATGGGGCTTGCACGTAACAAATTGTAGCAATTAACCGCTAATAATGTTAGCGGAAAACAACGAAACAAACAAAACCACGCATCCACCTTCAGTAAGTATGCTACGACTGGTACGCCACACAGCAACAACAGTATCGAGAACATGCTAATTGGTAATGTTCATGTATCATGCTGACTGGGTAAACGCCAAAGCGGGACTTTTGGCTGACCGGTCGGGACGCCGGGACGAAACGTTAAAAAGTGAGACTGTCCCGCCTAAAACGGGACGTATGGTAAGTCTATGTAAACTTAACAGTCAAAAAGCTACGCCGACGGTCACAAAATGCCACTACTCTACCTCAGTTAGTCCGCTTTAGGCCGACGATAACGCGATATTGAACGGTCAGTTTGGCGACAACTTCACGATCCCTAGATCATAATGGCGATATTTTTGATTCCTTCTCCACGGAACACTCGGAAGACGCGGAACACAGTTTGGGAAACGCTGGTATAAACTATAGAGGGTCAACATAGAGATACCACTTCTGTGTGACGTCATGGTTCCGAATGAGTAAAGAGGATAGGATTTACATATTTATCCCGGGGGAGAGGTCCATATGGCGAACCACGGCCTCTCGTCCGGTTACTATTCCAAGTCGGGTATGGGATTAGTTATATTGTTTGTTTTCGGGAGCATGGACTTGGTGGTGGAGGAAGCCGTAACCGACCAGCGGTTACGTGAACCACCCATAGGTATGACCTTCTCAGCTTATCCTTTGTCGCCAAATATTTTGACCAAGGTTTTTTGTTGCCCCCAGCTGCGGGCATTTTCAAGTTATTTTGTAACGCTTCGTATATATATATATATATATATGAGAAGGTTAGCACTAAAAAATCACGCTAGCTTTCTTTTCGATGCGATATTTATGTCACAGACTGTGAACTTGTCCTAACACGGTACGATAGCCTGGCACCGGTAACTGCTGAACTGACAGCAGTAGCAATAATATTATTCAGATATTGCTATCTCATTTTTGGTAATTTTGCTTTCAGGCTCGTACCACAGTATTGTAGGCAACTTAGCTCTAATCTATCTACCGGTACATATAGTTCTAATCGTACCATACTTGCACAGGAATCCTTTATTTCAACTTTTGTGAAGATGGAAGACAGTTTGGAGAAGAAAACCAAGTATTTGTGGTATCGATACGTGAGTATTGTTATATATATTATTAATTGATTTAAATATTTTTTCACTATGTCAGCTGGAACACATTGTGCGGTGCCGGGATGCAGCTACTCCTATGTCAAGTCTAAGAAAGCAGGGCTGTGAAAACACTATTTTCTGTTCTTCGGCCCGATATGGCAAAGACTACTGAGAAAAGAAAATCATGACCCTGAACTTATGGATTGGCTAGATACAAACCCGCAATATTTTAACACCAAACGGCCAACGCTGAAATAGATCGCGCTGAGAAAGGCACCGTATTCCCTACTTCCGTACCTCTTTACTCGTGTGGAACGACCTTTGGTCCCGCCAGTGAATTCTCTATTATAATAAAAAGTATAAGTTTATTTCGACTCCATAATCAGCAAAACAATAAAATGAATGGTAAAAATAAATAATTATCATTATAAATAAATAAATAATTATCATTCTCTGTGATGTCACACCGATTTTTTTGGGGGACAGGCAGTTAGCCAGCCTCTGCGCGGCTCGAAGTAGCCACATCCGCACCCGACGGCGGCCGGTTCAATAAAATCAATCAATCAATTTTATTTCGGTCGCTCTGGTATAAAACAAAACAACTTCAAGACAAAGTTAAAAACGCGAAAACCAAACCAAACCAAAAACAGACAAATGACACAATAAAAATACAGGATACAGAATCGGGCAATAACTTTAAATAAATCGATTCAATTATACAAACACTGATCAGAGGATGCACGACTGGTCCTTTTAGATTGAAGTTTTTATTGGATTTCCGATATATGCTATATATTTTTGTTGCATTGCTGTTGTGGCCGCGTTATTCAGTTATTAAATATGCTACGTATGAGCGAGTCAATAACAAAAAAACTCACTAAGAACCGGTATATTTATGACATATGAAAAATCTATTTTTCGTGAAGCGCGGTGCTTCCCCTCAAGACATTAGTGTCAAGTCAACCAAAGTCACTTTGGTGTCAACGCGTCAACGTTGCCCGAAAGGCGAGATATTATTAATATGTTCACAAGAGCCTGAGTTTGTTTCACACATATTTTGGAACTGTCCATTCACACAAGATGTGTATGATTATGTTTATTCTATTGCCTTAAAAATCCATTATTGTGTTTTGAGAAATAATTATATTACGTGTATTTTATTAGATTTGAATCAACAATGTTATTCACAATTGTCAAACTTGGAACGTAATGCCATTATACTATTATTTTGTACTGCCAGACATAAAATTTGGTTGGAGAGAAACTTAGTCATTTTCCAAAATGTTAATCCTAATGTCAACAATGTGATAATGAAAATTAAGAACTCCCTCATAGCAAGAAGGAATATCTGAATATTGAAAAGTGTAGACAAAATCCAAATTTTACAAGAGAACTTGATATTTTATACAATAGCTTCTGATTAGTTTTGCATAGTGATCCTTAGTATTGAAACTAATATATTTTTAATGTTTTCATTATTATAATTAATGCTAATGAATAAATATTGTACTAATGATTAATGTTGAAAATACATACTGGATATACCAATGGACTATTATATGGAAAAATGGACTATTATGGAACAACTACTCTGCTGATGATGTATTTGTTTTGTCACTTGTATGCAATTATTTATTGATATTCCTATATTATTTTATATATTCTTTAATTATTGATTAATCCACATTGTGGAAACATTAAAAAAAAAAAAAAAAAAAAAGATATTATTAATACTGTCACGGTACCGATATCGGTTTAATATGCATAGAATTGATGGACGACGTCAGTTAAAGAAAATAAAATCGCTGAATTTACAGTATCCTGGCACCGGTATTGGTATGGTACTCTAATAGCAAGGATTCCCACTCACGGTAGCGAAACATTCTTTTATTACAGTGCCGTATTAGACTATCGGTCCGGTACCGGCATCCAGCCAGATACAATACCGGAATCAGTTTATCTAAGTCAGTTCGTACTGTACCGGTAGCACATGCAGAATCTCAACATATCCATGACTTACCCTACCGTACCCTTGTGGTTTTGCATCATTACCGGTCCTTATTCCTGACGCACACCTAAAACTGCAAAATGTTGTTTAATATTACCCAAAGACTGAAGCATCAAAGGATAGGATTACCATATACTAATATTTCAGAACTAGCCTCCTTTAATACTTTGCTGAACTGATCTATGATCGATCTATATGAATACGCCCGGTGTTGATTTGGGTAGTATCATCACTGAATCTGCAGAAACAAACAACGAGAAGCCTCGTTCTATCTGGGGATTGACTGCACTAGGTGTTACTGCTGGAGCAGTTGTAGCATTGTGTATTGGTGCCGCTCCATTTATATCACCAGCTCTGCGCAAGGTAAACTTGATTTCAAATTATTGTCATTGATATGGTGTAATTACCTCTGGTTCATTTTTACAAGTTTTCACTGATTCATGTCGAACAAAAATGTTTTTTATGTTTACATTTTAATCGAAAAAATTTATAAAATGCTTCAAAAAAATTGCAGAATTCTACTCTCTTTATACTCTTTCATGCAGTAAATTTCCTAAATGGAAAAACTGCTTATGATGCTTTTTCATAGCAAAAAAACTTTCTTACGTGCATCCAAAATAACTTTTATTTTCATTCAGTTTTGTCTTCCATTCATCCCTGCAACTGAAGCACAAGTAAGAAACGTAATTTCAGCTTTACCCCATCGTGGTGGAAAACTTGCAGATATTGGCAGTGGAGATGGAAGAATTGTAATTTTACCTTTTATTATTTTATATTATGATAGTGTCTTTGAATGTGGTAACTTCCTGTGTATGGGGGATAATTATACAGAGCCTTGTAGTGAGTGAACTTGTAGTAATATAACCTCAGTGAATAATGAAATTTGGATATCATTTGGTGACCCATATGTGCTAATAACTCAACTTTATTTTTCATTACATAGGACTGAATTTAATTTGATAATATTAGTCTGAATAGGTTGTAAACTGTTAGTGTTTAAGTGACTCAGTGGTTAGCTTATTTAGTATTAAAGAGAAACATATTCAACTATCAACCGCTTGAGAGCGTGTAGGAGATTTTGAGAACCAATTGGAAAGAACTTTGAGAGGATTTCTGGGCTCTCACATAGGATAGTTCACAAAATCACTGATCAGTTGCAGTTTTCTTCATTTATCCCCAAGCACATTGTATAGGTTATACCCAACTTGCATAGCGGTTAGTGATTTGTTCTTCCAGATGAATTATTGGTATATCATAATAATGACTGGCTATAATATTTTACAGGTCCTAGAAGCAGCAAGAAATGGCTTCACTGCATCAGGATATGAACTTAATCCATGGCTTGTATTTTATAGCAAGGTATGGAATACTTCATATTCATTAGTTTCATATCTGAATATTACTAAATTCTTCATCTGTTCTAATATTTCTCATGATGTATATTTAGGTGAAAGCTTTTCGTCTTGGATTATCGTCTAAGGCTACATTTGTAAGACGAGACTTATGGAAAACAGATTTTCAGAAATATGAAAATGTTGTCATTTTTGGGGTTGATCAAATGGTTTGTTGCATCTTCAATTTTTCAATTATTTCCTGCTTTATCAATATCTAGTAAAGAGTTTAGCAGTGACACAAGATATGTCAAATTAGGATGATGGGCAAAAATAGGTTAATTTCTTCTTAATAAAAGTTGTCAGGTGACGAATTTGGCAGGCTCAATTGTTGGTGTATAACGGATATTTTTGATAAGATATCTGGACTCATCTCTGACTATTTCAAATAAAAACTTATAGTTACAGCTTCCTCCATGCAAGTACATGTATCTGAAATGAATGCCTGGACCGCGACAGACCCAATTTGGTAACCAAAGTCAATAGTTTTATTTTCTCTCCTCCCAGAATCATAATTAAAAACTCAAAACTTGTTTTGGTTTTTTAATAAGTTAAGGTTTGGTGATTGCGAAGACACTCTTATATAGTTAATCAATTATATTTGTGGACAATCAGAACTCAGTCATCATAGTGTTTTTTAGTCAATGTCTTGAGATTTAAATGTATTATTTGGTTTATTGATGATGTACCAGACAAAATAATTAATTACAGATGCCAAGATTGGAAGAGAAGCTTGCACAGGAACTACATCTGGGATCGCATGTTGTTGCATGCAGATTTCGATTTCCGAATTGGAAACCAGTAAAAGTAATAGGCCATGGCATTGATAAAGTCTGGCTTTACAATATACCACAGTCGTTCACAGATTTAAGTGTTGGAAAATCCACAAATCACTAATTTTGTTACCTGACCTTACTATGAGTATGAATGTTCAATTCTTATGAGCTAATATTTCAGAATTTTTATGCAGAACCTTGTTTCATTTAACATGAAAAAATAATTAGAATATGTTATCCTGACTTGCTGAATGAATCCAATTTAGAAAACGTGAATTCAATTATAGTGGGTCAAACAGGAAATAAGCGACTGAATCTGTCAGTTTTGCTTTGTAACATCATGCTCTGGTAAGCGTATGTGTAACGAAGAAATTGCTGGCTAACATGACACCATATAGCCAGACGAGAAGGTGACCCGCGGACCTCGAACTTGTTACCTGCCTCATCACCACGCTGAAACTCCCAACAAGCCAGATAAAAAAGAATTGTTTTTTGACTCTACACATCTATTTGCTGTGCCGTAGGTTCAAACATTAGCCTCGTGACGCGATTTAATAGCTTCCAACTCTGATATAGAAGCCATGTTTTATATGATTCGATTACTTGCAGCTAACGTTTGTTTTAATCGAGCTGCGTGGAAATACGCATTCTAGAAACAACTACTGATAGAGACTTGATGATGATTTACTTCCGTCGAAATGGGATGTCGATTCCGCCATATCAACACCTGAAGATACAATCAAGATGTGACACGCAAAAGCAACCAAGTGCGTTTCGATTTTTAAATCGGATTTGCGTGAAATATCCAGTCTGCGCGTCTCCGTTAATGTTAATTAGGATCTCGACAGATTCCGTGTGCAAAAATCTCTTGACATGCATTGAGACAGCCAGCGGGATCGCTTCATATTTGAAAACCAGGAGTTTCCTGATTTTGCTACCAAGAGAAACGCCATCGGTGTAACCAGCTCACTTTGTGATTCGTTTGGATTGTCAGCAAAACCAAACTATAATTGTGATAATGTTGGCGTGACAAGCTATCTTGGGATGAAGATTTCGACTATAAGAGATTGAAGTTTTGAACAAAGTGGATGAATTCTTTAGGATCTTTTGATTTCTCGTCAATTCAAATGTGAATATCCTTCGTACGAAATTCATATATTCTGTGATGCATCGGAAGTGGCAGATAGTGCGGTAGTATACCGGTATACAATATCGGAGCATTCCTCGCAGAATTATTGTAGTATCATTGCAGCCAAAACGAAGGTCCATCTACGATATGACAGCACTTCACTTAGAATTGCAAAATATCCTATTGACCGTACATTTGTTAAATTTACCCTTCCATTTGGTATATGTTGTCTGACTCTACTTGTGTATTGAGATATTCAAGATATAAATCGCTCAGATTTAAGGCCTTTGTAGCCACTCGCATTCGCGAAATACTTGGTACCTCTCAGCCACGTTACTCAGATACGTTGATTTCATTAGAGGAATTGCTTTTGCCTGAAAGTGGCTGGCCCGTCTCCCAGGTGTCTCTGCATTTTGTTTTGTCTGTTTACTTTTTGTATTGTTTATGCCGGAGAACCAAAATAAATGATTGATTGATTGGCCAAACTACTTAGAGATTTGGACAGTTGACGAGCACGGCCGAGAGATCAAATAGCAAGCATGCATGACCGCGGATTGTTCTATGACAGCTGCTAACAATGATGGAATACTGTACTTGGGTCTGAAATCGAAAATATTCTCGATGTCGTTGTTTTATTTTTGTAAATTAATTGTCTTGGTGTTGGTGATACGCAGTGTTTTAAGAATCTACTGTTATATTGCCCGACTATCAGTTATCTTGTGACGCCTAAACAGCTAGAAATCGCTGGTCAGTATTAGATAGTTTCTGCCCAGAAAGCATTTACATAGCGAGTGCAAATGTATAATAAACGAACAGGATTTGCCGTCAAAGTCAACATTACCAAGCTCAGGGGCGTAGCCGGAAATTTCTAAAGATGGGGTTCTGAAATTTTTATTTGCCGAGTTGGACCGAAACAGCTAGCAGGTCCGATCGAACGTTGAAATACGCGTGTTTTTATTAGTTGTTAGGGTCTAAAAAGCATTTCAAGCTACGGAAAATTGTTATCTACGAAACAGAAAAAATATTTTATTTTTTTACATATCTAAGGGGGGGGGGGGGGGGGGGGGGGGGGGGGGGGGGGGGGGGGGGGGGGGGGGGGGGGGTATCAAAAAGGGGGAATGGATCCGATTGCTTATTGAAAGGGCATGCCGTAGAAGGTATCTCTACAGGATTCGATTAAATTAATTGTAAATATTTTGGGAAAATTAATTGCAATCCGTTTTGGATGGTGAAAAGAGTAAAAATTTGGTCGCATCAAGGATGTGAATTCTAGATTGGATGAATGGCTTCCTGCGATTAGTCATGGGGTTCACTTTGTTGGCAGTTATAGTTCACCTTCTTGCAGACCTATATCGTGATGATCATCGTTAAGACATTTTATATCAACTCCATTTGAACAAATGTATCATAGCCGCATATCGTATCGTTGCCGTTATGGTGCAATGTATTCATGCTACACCGGAGATTCATTCTTGATACTTTGAACCTTCGCACAATGAGCCTGTAACCAATCGTATTTGCAATCGTTTTGTGTCGATTGGACAATGATGATGTTGTTTTAATGCGTTCCCAGAATGTCGTAATAAATTTTATTACTTACTGAAGTTTCCTGTTTTCTCGCGATAAATAAGTAACTTGACTATTTATGTGAATATGCGTTATCCTTGTGTAAAATGTATCCAAGTTCGTTAGATGTCATGAGTGAGCCGAACGGAGTGGAATTGATGAAAGCCATGATGCTGTATGATTATAATTTGACTTCATAATTGTTATACATACGCATCATCATTTATTATTAATAAATCAAATTGGGAACAATTAAAATAGATAAAAGGTTTCAAACGTGAATAGCGTAAAATTCATTCTTATCGACAAAATAAGAAATGGAGCTCAAGATTTTTTAAGATTAGTTAATTGTAGTCTCGTACGTCGTATTTTGTAACACACGACCAAGTTTTCTTTGCATTCACCAATAAAAGCTTTCATTGCAACATTTCCTTTATAATTTGTTTATTAATATTAAAAATATGCAATATATTCATTTTCAATATAACTACCATGACTCTAAAAATCGCCTTTCATGTGTCATTGGGACAACATATATATAATTCAGTGATGACACGATTCAAACATTAATGTTCGTATCGTATTAGTGTATAGTATAAGTAAACTATACTGACCGACTGACTATTAGTGGACAGAAACGTTGCCGATTTACGCTTTGGGTTGTTTATAAGTGTTGAGTCTGTTCGTTGAATAAAAAAGTCCTGCTATCTTAAACATAATAACAAAATATATCTGAAGGTCGCAAGTAATGAAAATGTAAGATATTCTACTCGTTGTTGGTAAAACGATGAAACTATTCTGACATCAATTTATTTTATACTTTTTTTTACAGAATTTCACCGATTATACAGCATTGAATATTGTTAAACAACCATTTTTTAAAAATGTATTATATGTTTAATTAATTGTCCAATTGATGCGATATGGGTTTACGATTTGTTTTTTTCGAGCATGTTACATTAAATCCACAATAGGACAGTGATCTTATGACATCTTACAAATTATACCGCAACTTTACACTCATGTATTCGATGGATTCCTGCTCGGTACATGGAAGGCATCTTTTGAAGTGAATCTATGCAATACTATTGAACATTGGCCTGCTCGGTAACATATACTACGAATGCCGTTGGAAGTTTTCGGTTAAAGTACTGGTGCATAATTTCAATGCTCCAAATCCGTGGACTTGGCCAAGTTTTATTATTCGAAATTTATGGTAAAGTTGGGATCGTGAAGGTGCGTTACTTTTAACTCAGATTGATTTATTTTGCAACAGCTCCAATCTGCGAAGTAGGGTGGAGGATAAGCTTCCACCGAAGATATACTTGAAATAGGGAAAACAAATCGCATAGCTGGTGGGGGTTAGGAATTTTCTAAGTTTGAATAATATTCCTGCTGCTCTAGCTAGCCTGCGAGCAATGTAGTTAATATTTGTTGCAAATTTTAATTGGTTATCAATGTGTATACACAAGTATATATTAGTAAGAGTCCACATTCTCAAGTAATATGCCATGTATGGTAATTTGAATCGAGTATATACTTATTGGATTTAATTAAAAGAGATTTGGAATTTTCAATATTCATAGTTAGTTTATTGCCGGTCATCCAAGCCGCAATTTTATGCATTTCAGAGTTCATGTGCAATTCCAAATCATTTGGCGAACCGGAGGCTCCGAATAATCCAGTATCGTCAGCGAAGAGTTCGACCAATAATTAAGTGGCGCGAGTAAGATCGTTGACAAAATAATATGAACATTAATGGGCCAATTATAGTGCCCTGTAGGATTCCACATTGTACGCTCTCTGATGCGAACTCGAATAGCTCTGGAAAAAGGCATTCCACCAAAATACAATAGACCTATATGTAGGAAATGTGTACTCCAACCAAGTCAACTCTATACACCAGTGGTTCTCAAACTTTTTTAGTCCCAGAGCCGCATTTCAAACCTCAAAGGTATGAAGAGCCGCACACAAACAACGCAAGGTAAAATAGCAACAAACCTTCAGCGCGCAATTAAAATACTAAGTCATCGTAACAACAACACACGTAACAACTAGGGCTGGGCAAAATTTTCGAATAATAAAATATTCGAATGACATTTTACGATTTGAATATCCGGTACCACGTGACCTGCGCCGCTCTGCTTGGACATCGAACTCGAGCGTCTCCAATTCAATTGTGAATTGTGCGAGATTTCCCAACGGCGCTCGCTATCAGAAAAAAAAAAGAAAAATTTGAAAAGTCGTCTTTGCGTTATGGTGTTATATGCTTATTTTTGCACCTAACGTATCCTTTCAATTCATCATTTTGCAAAAAAAAACGTACCGACCGTTCCGTAAATTTAGAAACGTCAAACCAGATTAGGTATTTAAAATAAATTTCCCAGATTTACACTCGGCATGCTTGGTGGCATGTCATTAGCCATTTCTTGCATTACCGAACATAAAGTTGCTTAAAATTAAATGTTAAAATGACTTTTAGGCGTTTCATTGTGAAAAAGGCGATTTTAGGTCGTTAAAACACTCTAGTTATGTAAATAGCATGGATTTAAAAATGACCAAAAGTTTTTCCAAAAGCTGGTATGAGTTACTTGTATGGAAAACACTCATTAAGTTGTAACCGGATAAGAAATGTCATGTCCTACTCCCTGTAAAGCACTGACTCGTTCACGAATTGTTGCGTCTATTATCATCGAAAATGATTACAATTGTTAAATTTTGAAGCATTTGGGCAGTAATAATTAAGCCTCAAGGTATGACATAATCGAAATCATTAAGCAAAGTGCTGAATTTGCAAATTCCGTAAAGAAAATTGAGCATTACTCAGTAAGTATTTTAGCTATAATAACCATCGGGGTGTTGTTTTGTTGAAAAAAAAACGTTAAAACTTGAAGGAATCAGGTATAATTAGAGTCTGACTCTCTATTAGGCACAAAGGCCTAGAAATGCCTTTATTGCCCATTTATTTAATCGCTATTTTAAATCAACATGCAGGATTCACGCAATCGTAAACTTGCTAGGTTTATCTATCTAATACTTAAATAACACGGACACCATAAAAAAGCATGAGAAACTCAAATATCATTATAATAAATATCTGCATCTCGGTTACCGTTCACTTTAAACATGCACGGTTAATTTACAAGCGGTGATAAGAAGATCGAATCCAAGACAGAGGATAAAACTCAGAATAGAATTAATTTGGTTTTAAAATTGGTCCTAATGTATTCAACAGCTGTCGCTGATGTGAACGCAAGGGTATACTAGAAATATGAAATTTCGATATTCGGCGACCGCTTATTCTTGCAAAAACGAGAAAGGGCGGAAATATAGAATACCAACTTTAGGATATCGACGCCAAAACGATCGCGGTGACAAAGACAATCAGCAATTATGATAAAATTACCCATTAAAAAATGCTTTATTGCCGACTTTTTAATGTTTCTATTATTTCCAAATGGAGTATCGACCCCGAAGTTCTGGATCCCTGTTATGTATAAAAAAAAATATTCAAATTATTTGATTCGAAAAAAAAATTCAATTTTGCCCATCCTAGCCTAACAGCTATTTATTTAGGCTTTGATTTCTAATAAGTTTGTCAAAGCGGGTCGTAATCGTTGAGGATGCAAGGTGCAGTAGCTGCTTGAGATGATCGCCAGATTTTTCGAGACTATTTTCGATTACTGGAACAAAATTAAAATGCTATAGAAATTGAAATAATCATCGAGTTATTTGATTTATACATAAGATCTGGAAATGAGACAAAAACTGAAAATCCACGAAAGCAAGCCAATGATTACAGCCATGTCTAAAATCTTTCCAAGTGAAAAGTGTCCGATTGGCCGCGAAAACGCTCACTGTTGCGTCACTATTGCATCTTATAGGTTAGCCAACGCTACGCAAATAAACACGG